GAGTCACACTGGTTTTTGTTGCTCTTTAATGACATTTGTAATATTTTTCAGTTTGACAAATTACTACAAAATTGAAAAAAAAACATTTTTACCGATTTTATTTCTCCAAAAACATGGTTTTATACATTTTTATCATAATGGTGCGTAAGTAGATGTATACAGGTTTGTATAGAACCGTACAAGTCGTGTTAGTGAGCCTAATTCGCTGAATAAATAGGTAAAAGAATAAAAATTGTCAGACAATGAAATATGAACGTTGATGTTTATTACCTTTTATGTATGTTTATGTAGTTCGTGAACAATTTTACATAAAAAAAAATCATAATTAAAATATAAAAAAGGCATTGAAAACTTATTAGAAAAAAATACTAAGGCGCTGGGAAGTCTTTTTTTTTCGCTTATATGCATTTTTTTTTAATATTATTTAATCAATCTGAACTTAGTCAGATCACCGCCTTAAAAAATATTAAATTATTAATATTGTTCACATACTACGCAAAAAATTTGGGAGACGTCTCCTGAAATTTTCTTATGATTACTGTAAGGAAATCTCTATTTTAGCATAATGTATCACTCTATCTATATTTCTATACTATATGTCGCTTTCAATGTGTCAGATTTAGATGTAACATTGTACGTGTTCTCCTCATTTTGTGCTATCAGCAATTTTTGAAATCGGAATGGCTAAATGCGGAAAAAAGTTGCCATATACTGTTCTACACAATTAAAAAAAAAGCGAAGTATCTTAGACATTGATTATTGCTATTTATTGTGTAGTCTTGCGTCTGGTGGTAAGCGACACGCCTATCCATAACAGTTGCATTGGCGTTCAGAGCTTCAAATCACAAAGATCTGAGGGGCACTGCCACTGCCTTTGTCACCCTTAGACATAAGTTGACAAGTCCCGTGTGTCTGTAATTTCACCGGCACGCTTACCGCAGTTGGCAACAAACACACGGAAGGTGGCGGCAATACTTCCCTGGACAAATTCTTTTACAAGCAGCTCTACTGCTACTAAAACTTCATGAAGCCATTCTGACAATCGTAGATCAATAACTGTAGTCGTACTCTAGTCATTATTTTTTATTTCTACGAAAGTTTATATAACAATAGAATGTAAAATCAATGACAATAGAGGAAAAAACATTCAACAAAATCCCTTAAAAATCAAATAGGTATATTTAAAGAAGTGTCTATGAAATCTAAAACGATATTTTTAAAATTATTTATTTAGAAACTCAAGTTTCAAAAATCTTTATAATACCTTCTTCATTCTAAAAAAACTATATGTTAAAAATGTTCGATTGATGTTGAGACTTAAATATTAAAAATGTGATAGGTGGTTTTATTGTTAATTGATGAAATGGGGGCAAAACATTTTAGATAACATGTGTTCGATATTAAGTTTATTAACTTGAGTATTTTTGTAAAAATAAATGTCGCAAAGGGTGTATAAAGTTACAAACATATTATACGATTAGTCGAATAATGTTTTTGAACTTGGCGTAGCACTGCCGCCAAACAACACGTACAACACGAGGAAAAATATTTTCAATTCTATATTTAAATATGTTACAAAGATTAATTTCATAAAACTACGGCGAAAAAAACTCGTTAATAAATAAAAAAACAACGATCGCAACAAGCACATGGAAAAATTCGTAATGTCGGCTGGTTCGCAGCTTAGCTCAGTTGGGCGTCAGGTACGGCGTGCTGAAGGCGCTAGTTCAAATCCAACTGAATTAAAAATTTTTTTTACTGTTCAATCTTTGTCCCTATACTAACAATTAAAAGACACTAGTGGTGTAATTTCATAAAAATAATCGAATATCATGATAGTAAAATGTCGTGATATTCAATATACTTAATATTACATTCATAAAATTGTCTAAAAAAGAAAAGAGATTAGAACTAAAAATTATAATAAATACAAATTGTAATAGCGCCAAGAAGGAGCCAACCGAAAGCCCAATTAGTGCGGCGACCAATCAGGGCGCCCGCTCGATACCAAGATTGACATCTTTGCGCCACTAGCAGAAATTATTTTTTTATTATATTGGCAACGCTGCCTTATTTTTGGCACAAAATAAAAATCTCTTCATTTTTCGGACTTCATGAACGCTGGTTGTGTTTTATTATCGACCGCCATGCGCCATCTGTCAATTATCGTGCAACCCACTCGGCGAAAAAATATATTCTTTGTAACTTTTCACGCCCTTTTCAGTAACTTAAAAATAAGGATCGCTATCATCCAGATCACCGTCATTATTTCTCAATTATAAAACATAAAATATTAATTGTAAGTGAAATAAAATAATAAATAATTATATTCATAAATAATTATGTATTTCTATGTTTTCGACGCTCAGTTGTATAATTTACTTGAAATGTTGTTTTTTTAATAAAAAATTAATAAAATTGTTCCCATTGCCTGTTGTTTTAATAGACCTGTATTTAGTGACTCGGCCGTGTTTTGTTCAGAATAATTTTATCATAAAAATCACACAGCATTAATAGTTAACGCCTAAAAATACTTTTGTTTTTATGACACCAAGAGACAGGACACGCAAGTCGTACGCCTGGTGGGTAGCGACACGCCTGTCCAAAACCTTTTTCTTTATATAATATCAAGTGACGGGACAAACAGGTCGTGCGCCTGATGGTAAGCTACACGCCTGTCCATAACAGTTGCAGTGCCACTCAGAGCACATCCAATTCCAATTTATTTATAATGGCTCCATCGATTTATATTTACACGATGATTCTGCCAATGTCAGGATTGAAAAAAAAAAACACTTACGTTGGTGTGACTATGCACGGTTGGAGAGCTTCATATCGCAGAGATCTAAGAGGCACTGTCACTGACGCGGAGCTGGGCGGTAAGGGAGTGAAATGAAAATGGATGAGAAGCTAATTTAAAGTGTCTAAAAATTTCCATGTTTATGGGATACACGACTGACAACATACAAATGATAGCATTTGTATGTTGTCATATGTTGTGCAGAAACCAAAGATACGAATAAAAGCCCTGCTCTTTTTTTATATCTCCAAGAGATTGAGGGTCGTATTCTAGAACTCTACTCAATGCTCAAGTCAGGATTTGAGTATGATTTAAAGCACTAGAAGTCATACTCAAGTCCTTGCCATTAGGGTAGTATTTCCAGTACTTGAAATCATACTAAAGTCTGCTCAAGTCCTGACTTGAGCATTGAGTAGAGTTCTGGAATACGACCCTGAATTTGACTGATCGGAACACGGCTCAATGCAGCTCTGGTCTGTTCAGCTCAGGTCCACTCCGCCCCGCTAGTTTGTTTCCATATCACGGCTGTCTGTCGTGACTATAATTTATCGATTCATGGCAGGCGCCTTCTCGTCTGCAAGACAGATCCGTTTGATGCACAGCCGAAAGCGCAGGGAACGAGAGGGGAGAGTCGGGAGCATAAGGCGATTAACACACTGCACCGCGCCCCGACGGTGCGCGAGACGCGGAATCACGCGCGCGGTAGCAGAGACGCAGATCTGCGTGAACGCGCGGTTTAATCTGCGCGGGGGCAGCGATCTAACTGATCGCCGTAGTGATTGCACATGTAGCTGAGATCCTTCTTTGACAATCATGGTTAATAATACAGAACTCATTCAGGAAGCTGCAATTATACTGCGGATTGTTTTTGTTTACTCAAATAAAAAGACACCGAAGATAACATTCAACTTCATTACAAAGATTTAAGAAAATATGAAGATTAATTTTTCAACTACACACGAATGTCAACTGAATTCTTTGTTTATTTGTTAGGGAACATCCGAACGACAATTACTGGAATAGACACAAATTGATTAAAAATCTGCGCGATAGTGCGGAGCGCACTGTGCCATACCCTGCGGTGTCGAAGGGTTGAAGAAGGAAGAAGCGTTGTCTGTGTTTTCGACGGCGCGTGTTTTCCATACAAACTGAGGTACTTCAGTGCAACGTTAAAAACGCAGCCCCGCGCTCCGTCGCGGAGCGCGGTGCAGTGTGTTAATCGCCTAACACGTGCAGACAATAAATAAAAAACGTCACGACAATAGGAGCTGCGATTATCTGTCATGACGTTTTATTTACGACTACCTTACTAACGACTATCGTACTAGCTCTTCCCATTGTCTTGACAGTCCGTCATCGTAACGTCAAAAAAGTCGTGAACGACAGTTAATCATGTTGTACTATACGCTTATACTCTAAGACTATATGTGAAGAACTTTTAGCAGCAGTTGGCCTCCTTATGAAAGAGTTCGTCCATGTACTGCCACCTATTTCTGTCGCCAAGCAATAATGTGAGCATTACGGTATTCCGGCTTTGAAGGGTAAGGGTGCTGGTGAAATTACAGGCACATGGGACTTGTCAACTTATGTCTCAGGGTGACGGGCGCAGTGGTAGTGACCTTTAGATCTTTGCGACTTAAAGCTATGAGTGGTAACGCAACTATCATGGACAGGTGTGTAGCTTACCATCAGGGGCACAACTTGTTCGTCCCGTCATTTGATATTATAAAAAAAACTTCATTTAAAAATTATAACGACATAATGGGAACGCGCGCTATTCAGTCCCTTCGAGACTTCGAGACCATGGACGTTGCAATAGTCCGAAACGTCGAAGTAATTAAAATATATGTTACACATGATTAAGTCCCGAATTATAAATCAAATAAGGAACTGATAAACCACGACTGTAGATATTAATTTGTTGATTTCGTATTAATATCATTGAATTTGATTAATTATTATTTATAGGACGCAACTGTTTCTACAGAGCGCACTCATGCACTAGTTATAGTTCTTAGCTTCATAGGTAAACAATGAGCGAGGAACTGTAGGAGTCCTGTTTGTAAATTAACACTTTTACACATTTATCATTTACAATATTTATTTCAAACAGCATAGCTCGGGACTATATTCAACTAGATGGGCCAATACCACGAACTTTTTGTCATCCAAGTACGCAGAAACAGGACTAGGGTTTTTGGAAAATAAGTATATATAATGATTGGAATCACAATTTAGTTTATTTAATTATCTTACATTTGTATTCGCTTATAAATATTACTTCTGACTACTGATTAAGTTACCCGGTGTCAGCGTATTGCCGCAGGTGTAGCACCGTAACTATCTGGAAACAACAAATTAAATCTCGTTTAGGGGTTAGTGACATTTATGTCTGTATATTAAAAAGAACCCTCTATACAAAACGAAAAGTCACCATCTGCTGTAAGTGGTTGAGGAGTTGGGTAGTCTGCAGACTGTCCTGGTTGCAGAATCAAACCAAGGTTATCATATTAATGTAATATTATCGGATTTCATAGTATACAAAAGAACAATGGCAAAATCATTGTTAAAAGAATTAGTTAACGTCTTCAAATGTCTTAAGTTTAAATAAAATAAATTCATTAGGTTTTTCAAATTATAATAGCGGCCTATCTAAGTCTGGAAATAAAATCATGTTTAAAAGAATCTCTAATGATTAATTAGTATATAACCGGACTGAGATGTACAACTATCAGTTTCTTAATTTTGAACGACGTCTAGCGGCCAAAAACGGAATTTCAGTACCTACGTATGGAAATGGTCAACATTAAGTTCACGTAATATTAAATGTACTGATTCCACCGATTTGTAATAAGCCAGTAATAGATTAACTATTTCATTACAAAAAATAAAGTTGATAATTTCTTCACCAAAATGTCACGCGAGAAAATGGTGAATCTGACAAAAAAGTTCCGAAAATCAGGAATAGATGGCATGTTTCACAAAAAAAATCATTTGTATCCGATTTACCAGTGCACTAGTCCGTGGTATATTATTGATTAACTCAGATTTTTTTTTATGGCTTATGAGTAACTTCATGTCTTGTATACAATATAATTTCCTCTGAACTTTAGTCACGTCACAAACCCACATCATTCAGCTTCTATTAAGGTTTCTTTAGTTAATTTTGATATAATAATAATCCGAATATATTTTATTCAATTACGTAACACGTAACTTCCAAAACTTCAAACTGGAATATCTTTAAACTTCTCAGAATAGTAACATATTTTTCATAAACAGACGCATACAAATTGTGTCTACAAAAATGTGTATGGGAGTTTGACACTGTCCTTTCAAGATGAGTAGAAGCGAATAGTCATTTTATGACTGGGAACCTACTTTAACCGTGAAAAGAGATGATGGATGATCTTTAAGCGCAAGCCACCCAGCGCACGAAGCTAACTTAACTTAGCTCACGAAGTTGCATGCAACCAACTATGCCAGCTTAGCGAACTCAGCTTAGCTAGAAATAGAGACGAAATAAGGACCATCCATCCCTGGTAACCCATCAGTCAAATGGGCCTTATATAACTTTTAAATATCAACTCTCATTTGTGCTGAAATCACAAATTAAAAAGCTGAAATTGTACAGCGCCAACAACTGACCTGTGTGTACGTCTCCGAATATTACAAAAATATTCTGTATTTATTGTAATAAAGATCTCTAACTATGCGGGCTGTTCCATTGGGTGGCGTGGGAAAAACAGCCAAACATCTTTTTTAAGTTAGAAAACAAACGGAATCACATTGCATCAATAATTAAATAAGTAATTTTTCAATTTTCGTCCATTATAACAAAGTTCAAGTTAAACTGGTCGATTTGAAGTAAAACAATTGACGACACCGGGCTGGCCAATCGGAGCGCAGTTGTCACCATAATGATTTGGCAGAATAGTTTTCAAACAAATTAAATGATATTTCGTCTCTATTTCTGGTTATATACTCGATGTTTTAAACCTAACACTAGCTATTTTTCTAGCTACGTATTTTTCTTTACTAACAAATATATGGATGAATGTATCTGAAATAAAAGTGCCCAAGCTTTCTTGCAATGTTACAACGCCATCTAGTGCGATAAACGATTACTTACAGCGCCATCTAACGAATGACGTGGAACTAATATTAATTAACAACTTCGTTAGTAACACCCACTCAGTATAACCCTCTGTACTGCCTGCTCCCGATGAATAAAAGTGACTTTTTCGTTTAATAATCGATTTCTTGGTCAAACTGTAGGCAAAGTGCAAACCTTGTATAAATTTACTTCCAGCGGTTGTTCTCGTAGTCCCATTTCGAGGCCAGCCCGTCGATGGGGTTCATCTTCAAATCAAGCATGCGCTTCAGCTGCGCCTTCTGGTTCTCCTCCTTTAGGGAATCGGGCAACGGACTGTACACTGAAATTCAAATCAATTCCAAAATTAGTAAATGACAAATTGAGGCATACAAGGAGGATAAATGTACGTAGTACATTTAGTGTAGTAGTAGTTCAGGGGGTTTCCAACTTAAGAGACAACTCACAGAAGTAGAAACTCAGAGAGTGGGCTTCAGTAATAAGGTTTAACAGTCCAAGTTTGAATTATCACATATTATACATTTCTGAGCCCCTCAAGGTTTACGATCTCCAATTAATTCGTTCATGGCATCTAAGAACATCATCATTCAGCCATACGACGCCCATTACTGTGCATAGGCCTCCCCCAACGATCTCCACGACGATCGGTTCTGCGCTGCCCGCATCCATCGGTTTCCCGCGACCTTTACCAGATCGTCGGTCCACCTGGTACCTACCCATTGAGCGTCGTGCGGTGCGCGTTCGCCATTGAAGAACCTATCCGCCCCAACGACCATCGATTCCTATCTAAGAGTCGTATTCTAGAACTCTACTCAATACTCAAGTCAGGACTTGAGTATTGCAGTGGGCACTTAAAATCATACTCAAGTCCTTGCCGTTAGGGTCATATTTCCAGTGCTTGAAATCATACTCAAGTCTGCTCAAATCCTGACTTGAGCATTGAGTAGAGTCCTGGAATACGACACTAAGAACAGCACTTACCGAAAAGCTTCATGCCCATGTAAATCCAGACAGAGAGCGAAGCGATGACGAGGGACCAGCCTAGGATACCCTTCCACTCGCCAGTGGGCGCCTGGAACTCGGCAAACGTCTGGCAGTACGCCGCACGGTACAGGGCTTTCTTTTCTTCCAGAGTCAGTTTCTTCCAGTCGCCCTTCTCTTTCTCACGTAGAGCCTACAAAGATGTACAGGTAGGCGGTAGAAAATTAATTGATGGCCGCGCCTATGGGGTATCTTGCCCAGGGAGCTGGCAGCATGTCTCCATTGGATAGTTAAGTCTATTCTTTGGAAGTAACTGCTAGCCTTATAGTCAAAGGGGGCTTTGACAAGGCGACCTGAAAACTCCATAGCAAAAAGTTTCGCCTGTAAACGCCATGGACACTAAATTTTCACACCAATGTTTGATCATGTGTACCGCGATTATTGGTATGCACATTGGTATTGGTGTTATATGACAGATATGGATAAATTGCCCTTATGAATCACTCTGACAAATTTTGAATATCAACTGGATTGTTATTGTATAAGGATGTATGTATATATGTATTGCCCCTCAAGTGAATTTGTAACTTTGTGAAGGCAACTGAGTGTTAGCAGTTTATTTGAATTCCTTTAGCGCGATAGCAAATGTACACAACGTGTCACATTGACAGCGTTTTATATTTGGTTTAGTTTAGGTATTTCATGTCTCTTAATCTATCGTTATCATTTGTGTATCACAATTTATTCGTAGAAATTCTTCTTAACATAAATCACATTTTAATTACCTTAACGTCGGGTGTGTCGGGGCGAAACCTTACGGCGGGCATGGGGAAGTCGGACCGGTCGGCATAGTTGGGCTGGCCGTTGTATCCGAAACCGACCCACTCACGATTGCCGATCTGTATAGAGACAACCATATTACATTGAAGTAGAACCGTAGTAGAACTTTTTCAAAGAAAATCTATTGAATAGGTAAACTAAGAATGAGAAAAGATACGCTGATCTTGTTGATTGATCTAAAGAGCCTTCTACCTTTAGAAGAACTTGGATTCATTGACTCACTTATGTGCTGGCTTGATCTGACCGAGCTAGTGTAGACATCTCACAATAAACTTATTTCAACAACATGTCTCATGTCATTCTATCAACACAAAATGACAGTTGAATTAGATAATAATACAATTACAAAATTGTCAGTATAGTTGTTCCATATTTTGTGTTATAACAAAAAACGAGGCGGTTCAATTTATATGCTTTATCTGCAAATAGCCACGGCATCAAACTCTCTGCCTACACATCTGTTTACAAAATATTGCACGAGTCTTTTCCTCCGCGACCACATTTATTTAAAAAAAAATTACTATGTGATCAAACGCCATTAAGGTAACAAAAAATTATACCTTAGCAAGCTCACTGACAGAGCGAGCACCAGCGGGAACGCGAACTGCATCTAGCAGTGCACGGCGTAGAAGAAAATTCGCCATTTCTTTCTGTAAACAAAACAACTTCTTCATTTCTATTAAATGTCCTTAAATGAGCAGAGAGACAGCTCATGAGCTTGTAAAAGCGGAAGCCAGCCATGTGGTTTATCACCCCTGAACCCTTCATTGAGTTTCTGCATAGTCTACCTAAACACACATTTCCCGAGACATCTGACTATGACTCACGATGTCGAACAGCTAGCATTAGTTTAATGTTGAAGGCATAACTTAGTGCTTTTTAATGTTCAATATCGTAGCTCTCACGGCACACAGTATTTTGAGTATGGTGGAGTCCAACCTTTTGTAGATTTTGCCATGGCACAAATAAAATGCCTCTACATCTCCTAGATTACTTTTACTTTCGGCCCTCTAATGGCCATACAAAAATCACTCGTTTAAACATAAGCCCTAGATAAGGAAGCAATATCAATTATTATTGGAGCTAAGAAAATATGTCCGTGAAATGAGGCTGTCAGCGCAAAGTGATGTAACCCACATATGATTTTATTCTACAATATTACTCTAAATGACAGTGAAGCGCACAACTTGTTCGTACCGTCACTTGATATTATAAAAAATATTACATAATATTTATTTCATATTTGGATGGTATTTTCATGTACAAAAAATTTTAATTCTTTTTTATAAATTTTAAGTTTTATTTAATATCATGATGTTTGGGAAATTACTCCACTAGTTTTTTATAATTATTAATACAAAGCGAGTTCTTAGGTTTTCGCGATTGTTACACAGAGGAAATGAAGTTATTTTTCCCAATTTAAATCACGTATATTTGTTTTTTCAAACAAACCAATGTTTCGGGCCCTTTACAGGTCCCATGGTCACAGTATGTTTGAAAAAACAAATATACGCGATTTAAATCCAGAAAAATAGTTTCATTTCCTATATTAATACAAAGGTCAAACACTTAGAAAAAATTTCTTTGATCCGGCTGAATTTGAACCAATTTCTTCAAGAATTCTTTTTTTTATATTACAACTAAAATTTGTTATACTATTTTCAAAAAAAAAAAAGATACCATGACACACAACTCTCAATGGCTGTGCGTGCTGTGTGACCACCAGAGTAAAGGTGTGTTGTTGCAATCATCAGCTTTGTCCGATGTGGCCAATATGGAACATTCACTGGCAGTCACCCTTGTCTGATGTGACAGTTAATGTGTTAAACCATCATGATGAAACATATCAGAAGTTTACGAAATTCTTTAATAAATAAATAACAAAATAAGTGAAGTAGGGAGACCAGAATTAGGATGTACTTATATGGTTTTCAGAAGGTATTGTCTTCTGGTTAATGAATTATCTCTCCACATTTATAGTAACTGTATAGACATGTTGACATTTAATAAACGACATAACTTCAACTGCAATTGGTATAAATTGAACTGCGGTCGGTTGTATGAGTTTTTCCTTGAACTTCATAGAATTTTATCAAAACTTCCTTTAGCCATGTTTCAAACATCAGTAAGGTTATTATGTCATAATTGACTAATTTTAAACAACTAGATATACCATAAAAGTGGTTAACTAACTACGTAAGGTAATTAATAGGCAAGTCGAAAAGGTTTATCGTGATAAGAGGTTACCTAAGTTCTAACAATCAATACCAGTTATGTAACAAGACAATCTGTATAAAATCTTCGATCGTTACCAGAATTGTACATTTACTCATCTAAAAACTGTAATTACGTTAATTTATTGTACAAAAAAACAAATATTCGTGATTTTTGAACAAAAATGCACATTTTTTGAAATTCGAACCTAACCTTACGATGAAATATTGACACTATTTACACGTACTTACCGCTAGAAAACACTAACCAAAACACAAAAAATCACGGAAATTAATACTTAAATAAACGCAATACTCTATATTCTTTAGATTTTTACCTTTTAAATGTGATTTTTATCTCGTAAAATGTTATCACCTCCTCTATAAAATGACGTAAAAACCGCCCCACCACGCGCCCTAGCGGCGGTTTGAAATAAGTATTTGTTTCATTTTAAGCAAATATTTTTTCTGAAATAACTCAGAAACGTTACTTTGCTTTTCAACAAAGAACGGATTCGCTCTGGGCCTTTTGGAGGGAAAAGTGTCCTTTTATTTTGACTTTCAATTATTTTGTGAAATCTAGTTTAAAGTGGAATAGGATAGTACTATTGTTCCTTAATCGATTAAAACGCGAAATTATACGAATCTCGAACTAAAATACCCGTATCGGCCCGTTCTAGGGAATCCCGAGTCAATCCAACCACGCCGCCTCAAATTGCCTATCCTCTTTGTGGCGGCCATATTTACAGAAACATAATTAAACGAAGACATGGCTCAAAGGACTTACATCCAAGCCAAAATTATTAATAAAAAAAAAAAATAAATGGTTATTATTTAATTTTTTTTCTAGTCTCTAGCTTTCTCTACAGTCGTATTCCAGAACTCTACTCAATGCTCAAGTCAGGATTTGAGCAGACTTGAGTATGATTTCAAGCACTGGAAATAGGGTCATTAGGGTCAAGGCAAGGACTTGAATGTGATTTCTAGTGCTTTGAATCATACTCAAGTCCTGACTTGAGCATTGAGTAGAGTTCTAGAATACGATCCTAAAAAAGGTGTTATGATAATATTGGTCCGTTAGACGTCATTGCACGTTTCATATGAATGTTTTCAAGTTAATGTTTTTGATTTTATATTTTTATTTTTCATATGAATTGTCATTGTATACTATAATAACACTTAGTTCGTCCTAGGAACAATTCGCTATTATCAAAACAAAACAAATCTGTTCCAAATTTAAAAAATAATTATATTATTATGATTACAATTTGGTTTTACTTAATTCTTATTTAATTTTGTAAAGTAGTGGCCACTTTCTTTCATAACAAAATGTGTGGTTTTCATTTAAAATGTATGGTAAAAGGTTTTTGTGATTTCTGACATTTCGAGTACTCTTACCAGTCTTACCTCATTTGGTCCCATAGAGACTATTGATCCTTACCAGAGACCGGATCGAGTGGCATAAAAAAGTTTTGTAAAAATTGCCTTTTATCTTGGTGACCATACCATTTTTTCAAAATCTATGAATGCCAATCAAAATATCTTTAAAATTCATGGATAGTCTTCTATAACCGTTTTCCTGTAACTACAACTATTAAGGTAGCTGGCCTTGATGCCCCGTCTCAAATGTACACCCTGTTTATCAACAGTTAGATACTTAAAAAAAAGAAAGTTTATAAATAGAAATTTTCATCGAGGGCCGTACCCTGGAGCATCGTGCCCAGAAGGCTGGCAACATTTCACCTTTGAATTGCTAAACTTATTCTTTGGCGGAAATTACTGCCAGCCCTGTGGTGACCGGAGGTTTCTACGCGGCGCTTCACTAGAAGTTCCGCCTGTGGCCCCCAGTGTCCCAGGAATTAAACCGCAAAAGGCACAAAGCACTGAGCAAGGTTGGCGTATTTGAGGCTTTTGCGATTCTCGGCCGCTCTGGCCACAGAGCCTGCTACAATGTCCACACAGGTTGCGTCCCACACTAGCTGTCTCCCTAGCTTCCATGGACCGACAGTCATACAATCAGGCCTCTTACCATCATTGCGATAGATGCTAGTGGGCTCGAGAACTGCTGGTATCGGTGAAGGCGCATAAGATGATGCTATTGAGCGCTGCGTGTCGGCCAACGAGCGTTTCAAGTACACGAGAGGCCATGGTGACCAAATTCGTCAACAGCATCACCACACATGCATCGATGGGGGTGGACTGTTGACTTGCCCCCAATCGGAGGCAGACAGCTAATGTGAGGAAAAGACCCGTAACGTGCCGATGCAGGCCGAGGATAGTGCCTCTAGCCAATACCCAGACTCCTTTTCAAAGGTGGCTATGAGACGAGCCCAGAGTGGCAGAGTGTATAAGTTCTTCTTGAACGTTCAAATGTCCCGCATTTGAACGTCCAAGCGTTTCTGGCCTCAGCCAAGCACGACAGCTCAACGGAACCCAACGAAGGGCCAAGGATGCTACCGTAGAGGTTTTTAAAAATTTTTCGTTTCTAACTACAATGTTTGTAACCGTCTCTCTAACATTGGGTAATGTAAATTTCACACAATTTGTTTTTTTCTCATTAAGAAGTAGGTTATTAACAGCAAACCAATCAACTACTTTAGATATAGCATTGTTCACATCGTCGTAGGAACATTGGTGCCTTTTAACTTTAAATAATAAGGAAGTATCATCAGCAAAGTCAAAGTCAAAGTCAAAGATTATTTATTCCATAGGTAAAATAAATTTACACTTGAAAACGTCACAGTTAAGCTACTGCTCGTTTCTAAGTCTACTGCTTTGTAATATGATTTTTCGATCAAAATATTTTCAATGTAGTTATTGAACTTAGGAATTGATAAACTTAATATATGCTCCGGAATCTTATTGTAAAAACGTATAAAGTTCCCCATAAAAGAGTTGTTTACCTTGGTTAAACGAAATCGTGGTACCATGAGTTTGGACTTAGCTCTAAGGTTAATATTATGGATATCTTCTTTCTTATTGAAATTATGTATATTTTTACGGGCATATAAAATATTTGAGTAAATGTACTGTGATGCCACAGTCATGATACCAGTCTCCTTAAACTTTTCTCTGAGAGATACCCGAGAGCCTAGACGGTACACAGAACGAATCGCTCGTTTTTGCAATACAAATATGGTTTGAATATCTGCCGCTTTACCCCACATGAGAATCCCGTAGGACATTATACTATGGAAGTAACTAAAGTAAACTAGTCTAGCAGTACTAACATCGGTAAGCTCACGTATTCTGCGGACTGCGTATGCAGCGGAGCTTAATCTGCTGGCCAGGGACGATATATGTGGAAACCACTGAAGTTTACTATCTAAGGTCACTCCCAAGAAGACTGCTTTATTAACAAGGTCTAACTTTTCTCCGTTTATTTCTATGCTTTGACTAGTCGATTTTACGTTAGGTAATTAAAATTTAACACATTTTGTCTTCTTGGCATTAAGCAATAAATTATTAGCATTAAACCAATAAACTACCTTAGAGAGGGTATCATTAATACGGTCATGGTTAATGTCATGTCTGTCTGTTTTAAAAATCAAGGATGTGTCATCAGCAAACAACACTATTTCGCAATGGTCCTTAACAAAGAATGGCAGATCATTAATATAAATCAGAAATAAGAAAGGTCCAAGTATTGAGCCCTGCGGAACACCCATTTTTACTGGAGAACCCAAAGAAGTCGCTCCATTTATGCCTACTTTCTGAATTCTACCGTTGAGATATGACGAGACAAGTTTCGACGCCTTGCCATTTACACCGTAATGTTCCAGCTTACTAATAAGAGTATTATGATCAACGCAATCAAATGCCTTTGAGAGGTCACAGAAAACACCAATAGCGTTCTGGGACCTTTCCCAAGCATCAAAGATGTGTTTTAGTAACGCTACCCCCGCATCGCTAGTCGATCTACCACTAGTAAACCCGTATTGTTCACTATGAAAAATATGATTCCTACCGAAATAGGACAGTAATTGAGTTAGCAGAACCTTTTCGAATATTTTACTTAAAGCTGGTAAAATTGAAATGGGCCTATAATTGCTAGGATCAACTTTCCTACCGCTTTTGAATAAGGGAATAACCTTGCTGTATTTCATTAAATCGGGAAAAACACCTTCGTCAACGCACCTATTGAAAGCTACAGCTAACTGTGGGGAAATGAGATTAATAACTGAGTCTATAACTTTAGTTGATATGCCCCAGAGATCTTCAGTTTTTTTAACATGTATTGACTTAAAAGCTTTTATGATGTCTTGTGGATTAACATGACGAAAATTAAATAAACTGCCACAAACGTTAACATTTTCCTTTAGGAGATCAATAGCAAGTGAAGGGGAGGAATTTAATGATTTTGTAGTGTTCACAGCAATTTCCGAAAAGAACGATTCAAAAGCTTGGGCTACTTTATCTTTAGATTTTATAAGTTTGCTGTCTAATTCTAAAACTATATCTCTATCGTGTAGTTTAACCCTGCCTGACTCTTTATTTATTATGCTCCAAGTAGTTTTAGATTTATTTATCGATTGTCTAATTTTGTCGCTGTGAAACTTAACCTTAGCAGCTACACAAACTTTTTTAAATATTTTCGAATAAATTCTAACATATTCTATGAAATTGGAATTAGTATTATAAGTTTTCATAGCATATAGCTCATACAAACGAGACCTACTCTTATGAATACCTACTGTTGCCCAGTCGTTGAATTTAGTCTCTCTATGGAAAGTTAATGTTTTCGATTTAAATATATTGTCAAATTCATTTTTAATTAAACCAAATATCGTGTTATATAAAGTATTTGGATCCTCCGGTATATGGGATAGGGAATTTAAACTGTTGCCGATATTATTTTGAAATCTAATTATTCGTTCTGTGGTAATCGGTCTGCAGAGAAATTGGTCTACCTTCTTGCTCATTTTACAATTAAAAGAAGCCAATTGGCCACTATGGTCGGATCTTAAGCAATTTATTATTGATTTAGACACTGCGTCTGTGTTACAAAAGATGTTATCAATACAAGTAGAAGAGGAGGCAGTAAAGCGAGTTGGTTCTAAAAAAAGATTAATCAAGTTAAAACTTTGAAATAAATTAATGAGTCTTACAGAAGTAGAACAGTTTTCCAACAGGTTTACATTGAAATCTCCACATATTACTACGTTTTTTTTGGTTGGAAAAATCCGCTTTAAACTGTCTTCCATAATTAATTCAAACTCGTTAAAATTAGCAGAGGGGGGCCTGTATACACATAAGACGACAAACTGATCCAATTCCACACATGAAATCTCAATAGTTCGTTCAGTAGAAAGATTTGTGATATCCTTACGCTCTTTAAATTTTAAGTTACGCTTAATAATAATCATGGATCCGCCTCTACTTAAGCTCTTTCTTATGAACGAACTGACTATTACATAATTTTCTATATTGTTAATGGCTTCGTAA